GATCAATACCATCTCTTCAACATTTTGTCTTAAAGAGACACCTAGAGTAGGGAGATTAAGTGACTTGACACTTGGAACTGTGCTCCATAGGAATTAAACTAAGATATGTCTGAAGTTAATCTTCTTGTCCTCCCCAGACTCTAAAGTAGAACAAGGGGATAGGGGAATTATGCTTTCCTCATATTGGGGTGAGCGAGTTTATATATTTGTGATTATACCTTTTGGAGTAAATATTCCTAGTTCTGTGTTACAACAGTTGTGAGAAAGAAGGCATTTTATTTTTCATATCAGAGATAAATATGGTCTTAATATTCAAATTATTGAGAAAGACATAGAAAAATTTGACTAATGAAAATGGATACAAATTCATCATAAATTTTCAGCAAAAAGACTCTATCAGCATATCCTTCCCCAAAATTCAGTATTTTCTAGTTATATTTATACAAAAGATTCAAATAAGATGCAACTTTAGGAAAAAAATCAAAATAATAACATAAATAGCAACAACAAATTCTAACTATGTAAATGGGTTCAATTCATACAACAAACATTCCCAGGATATGTCACTCACTATGCTATATGCTGAGTACACAAAGATAAAAATGAAAAAGCCCCTGCCCTTAAGGGAATTATATTCTATTGGGGGATAATAACACTTACTGAAAAAAAATAAATATACAGCGCTGTCAATGTAGTTTACGGTAAATGGGCACTAATACCTAGGGATTAGGTTAGACTTGACCATAAGAGCAGGAGTTGGGGAGGATGTGCATTCAAGGCTTGGGCATGGAGGTCAGAGATAGAATGTTATGTGTGAGGAATAGCAAGCAGATCAGTGCAACAGGATTGTAAGGTATATTGATGAGAATCATGTGCAATAAACCTGGAAAGTAGGTTGGAATCATTTATTTTGAAGGACTTTTAAATCCAAACAGGACCTTCTATTCTATACTAGCAAAAAGGTAGTGACTATGTGCCAGGCATGGTGTTTGACACTGGAAATACGACACTCAAGACAAACTCTCCTTCAATTTAATGTTCTAAATGGGGAAGACGATATATAAAGGGCAGCTATAAAGGGAGAAGGGATGCAACTTCGCATGGAGTTAGAAGCATTGTGGAGGCCTGGTTTTGGGCAAGAAGTGAAAATTCAGCTATCAGGGCACTGCGTCCCAAGGATGGGATCCAATTAGGGAGATTGGGATGATGACCTGGGTGCAGACAGAGTAATATTTAGACGACCAGAAAATTGACTGTCAATTTTGCAGTTCTTTGTGGATAAATAGGGTAAGGGAATAAAGACTGGACATGTGGAGATAGAAACCTATTGCAATAGTTTAGGTGAAGAGTTAATGAGAACCTGAACTAAATGCAGAAAAAGCTTGCTACTCTCCCCCCCCCTTCTGTCTCTGTCTCTGTCTCTCTCTCTCTCTCTCTCTCCCCCTCCCTTTCAGCCGCAAAACTTTGGGGGAAATATAGTTATTCATCAATGAAGGACTTGAGTGCTTTGGGATGCTGTAATCCCATTGAGCCCAATGTATAGAAAGGACTGTAGATAATGTATACCTTAAGGAGTATAGCATTGAATTACTGTATCCTGTTTTTAAGTTTTTGTTAATAAGAACTATAGGTCTCTTGTGTGTTAAACACTTCTCTTGCATGAAATAAATAAACAACCATTTCATAACTAGTTTATATTCTGCATTGAGTACCTTTTTACCTCCTCTCCTTTTGGCAATTTGCTGTGATGGGGGCATAAAGTACCAAAAAGTGCAATAAAAAGGTCCTGACTGCTCCCTTAAGAGACTAGACTTCCTCTGGTACATTCATGAGTCCAGCAATTGAAAAAAAAGAAAGAAAACATTAGTGGAGAGGGAGAGTAAAAATACCTGTAGCATCATATCTAGCATAAGTGTTTATTGATATATTTAATATATATTTATTGTTAATATCATTATAAATTATTTATATTATAAATGTAAATTTACTTTATCATTATATGATATGTTATAATCTTATAATTATAGGACTATTATAAATAGCCAAATTAACTACAAAGAACATATGAAGGAGGACAATGTCTGCATCCAGAGAAAGAACTGATAAATAGAATCATGTATAGAATGATTTCACACATACACACACACACACACACACACACACACACACACACTTGTGTCTGATAGTAGCCATCTCTAGGGTAGGGAGGAAGGAAAAAAAGGGGATAAAAAGAAATTTACATGATAACTTTATTATATATTTAAAAGAAATAGCAAATTATACTTAATAGATTTGTAGTTTCATGAGCAATCATCTTTTTTTTTAATTATTATAACATGTTATGGAAAATTTGTTTTGTTCCACAAGTTAAAAATAAAATAAATTAAAATTATACATATGCTTAAAATGCTTAAAATAGTATAATTATTTTTGATATGTCCCAAAGTGCATAACCAAAATGATCTAATATTATTTGCAATCAGAAACTTAGCAATAGGTATCATAGGAAAGCAAGGATATCCCTATTGCTACTATTATTTAAACAAATTCTAGAAATGTTAGATACAGCAATACAAAATATTTAACTTAATATCAGAAGACTATTTCCTATTTGTAAATATGATGCTTTCTTTTAGAGAATCAGAGAAGAACATGATAAAGATGATTTAAAATTTCAGCAAAATAGTAGGAAAAAATATGTCCATGATAATAATCATTTCTACACAATTCTATCCAAATTCAAGAAGAAATGATAAAGAAATCTCAACAAAATACTACTGAATTTATATAGTATCTAGGACTTAACATTACTAAATTTTATGTGTGTATACATATGCACACATATGCACACACACATATATATGTGTGTGTGTACATATATGTGTGTATACATATATATACAGATAATGTTCTATACTGTGGGATGAATTGAAAAACTGGGTAGATATCATTCACAATTAATTTCTACATTCAATGCCATGAGCATCAAAATACCAAGGGGTTGATCTATCAAATTAGATAAAATGACAAAAATAACAAAGGAAAAAAGTTGAAGGAACTTAGGGGAAAAATTAGGAATGAAGGAAGAATAGCATGTCCATATTTCAATCTATACTACAATGCAATAATCGCTAAAAACATTTGGTGTTAGTTAAAACATATAAAAGTGGATTAGTGGCATGCATTGATAACTAAGAACTAACTAGTCTTTTGAACTCAAAATTCACTGAACACAAAATTCCAGCATTTGATAAAGTGATGATTCCAAACTACATGGAATAAGGTGCACAATACAACAATAATTGCTGGGAAAACTGGAAAGAACTTTGGCAAAATTATGTTTTGATCAACTTCTATCATATTTTCTAACAAGTTCTAAATATTGATATGGAACTCAAATTCAAAGTTTGCCAAGGCTTCCTCCTAAAAAAGAGCCTAAAGCAACTGAGAAACATAGGACCACTTAAGCTATTGGGGTAGACTTTTCTCTATGGTGTATCTCAGTATTGATGTTAGTTCATCTACAATCAGGAAAAATAAACAAAGTAGAAGAGGCAAAGGCCTAGGCTTAAGCCTGTCTACCCGAACTCCTGTATACCTTTCACATGGGAGCAGTTTCCAGGTTTCTTGGTTTCTGTACCTAATAAGGGTGGGTGCACTAGTGCTGTCTTACTTCGCAGGCAGGAAGAGAGAAAGTATGGAAAAAGGAAAAAAAAATTCTTAATCCAACAAATGAAAGAGGAGATCATGAAACATTTTTAGTTTTTTTTAATAGAGCCAATTGACCAGAATTAGATGAAAATCTATTGAATAAGGCCACTGTAACAATTTTTTTATAAAGGTCAGATATCAAAGACATATATTTATATATATATACTTATATATTTATATTTATATAAATATTTATTTATATATTATATATATATCAAAGACATATATTTATATATATAAAAGACATATTTGTTCAAGGCAAATATTTAAGACCAAGATTAATTTCCCAATACTCAAATGGTCAATATATAAATAATTTTCAAAAAGAATTAGAAAGTATCAACAATGATATAAAAATACTGCAAATATCTAATAATAAAAGAAATACAAATATAAGTAAACCTGAAGTTTCATCTCACACTCCTCAGACTGTCAAAGATGATTAAAGATAAAAATCTTCAATGTTGAAGGGCCTGCAGGAAATTTTTTTTTATAATTTAGACTTGCTGAAAATTTTAATTAGCAGAAATGATTAGACGGGGAAAATGGGATTATGCAAAAGAAATCATCAAACTGTTTATATGCTTTGATTCAGGAATCCCATTTTTGTGCTTACCATCCTTCATAGTTCTATGATGGAGATAAAACCTGTGTATACCAAAATAGTAATTATGACAATTTCTATGGAGATAAACTGTAAAGTGAGTGCCCATTGATTGAGAAATGATTAAACCAATTGTAGAATGTGAACATTTAAATGAACAATATGAGCTCTTCAGGTCAGCATAAGAAAGTTTGTATGAATTCCTAAATAGTACCTATAGGGAATCAGGAGAACACTATACATGATACCCATATTAATGTATATGAAAACAACACTAAAAGACAACCAAACTCTGGTCCAGGTGGTAAGGTGATGAAACACATGTCTCTCATCAGGATAGAGAGACAAATGGCTAGGTATTGCATATGATAAATATGCTGAAATAAATAAAATGTGGCAAAATCCTTGACTTTGTCTGATGTCTATGACTACAAATGGATTGCTTAGAGAGGTGTTGTATTGTCATCACTAGTGGTTTTTAAATGGAGGCTGGATGACTGCTTATAAAATGCATTATGGTGGAAATTCTTTTTGAGTTGAATTTGAACTAGATATGCCCTTCTAAATGCCTTCGATTCTTTTCTCTTCATTCCCGATTTCTCCATTAGGGGGCACAGATTCCCTCCTTTATCTCAAAGTTTACTAGTAGATTGGGCATAGACAGTGTCTAGGACTTCCTGCTATCTTACTTAAGATGCAGCTTCCTCAAGACTCTTATTCGTATCTGTTGGGTCTTCACACAATATACTATGGGGTTCATTAATGGTGGGACCAACAAAAGGACATCAGCCATTAGGATTCTAATGAGTAGGGGCGCATGCTTGCCAAAGCGGTAAAGAACAGCCAGGGTAATGATAGGTATATAAAAAATAAGCACAGCACAAATATGAGAGACACAGGTACTGAGAGCTTTGAGTTGTTCTTGGTGGGAAGCAATGCCTAAAACAGTCTTCAGAATGAAAATGTAGGAAATTGAAATTAATACTAAGTCCAGCATGCCTACCAGAGCAACAAAGAAGCCATAGATAATATCAACCTTATTATCAGAGCAAGCCAGTTTCATGACATCCTGGTGTAAACAGTAGGAATGGGAAAGGAGGGTCCTCTTACAATATGTCAGGCTCTTTAGAGTGAAGGGGAATGGCAGGATCAATAAAAAACTTATCATGGTTAGCAACAGGCTAAGTTTGGTGGCTCTTGCATTGGTAAGGATAGTGCTATATCTTAGGGGGTTGTGGATAGCTATAAAACGATCAAAGGACATGATCATAAGAACCGAAGATTCCATGAGAGAAAAACCATGGATGAAAAACTGCTGGGCAAAGCAGGCATCAGCAGAGATTCTGGGAGCATTCAATAAAAAGACCCTTAGCATTGTAGGTAAGGATGACAGGGACAGGCCCAGGTCAGAGAAGGCCAGCATGGAAAGGAAATAGTACATTGGCTTGTGAAGTGAGGACTCGGTCTTAATGATGATGAGGATGGTACAGTTGCCAAAAATGGTGACAAAATATATAAAACAGATGGGGATTGAGATCCATATATGAGTGTGTTCCAATCCTGGGATTCCTATCAAGAGGAAGGTGAAGACTTCACCTTTAGAGATGTTGAATGAAGACATGGCAGGCAGAAAAAGGAAATCAAGTCAGGAATATGGATGACACTCCCTGAAATGGAAGGGGGGAAAGAAGATACTTGAATCATTCTGTATCTTTCTGCTTTTTGGTAGAGTTCTGTTAGTATTGACTCACTTATCACCTGCTTGGTTTAGTCATCTCTGGTCAACCCAATAAATAGTATTCTCTCCACACTTAAATATTCCTTCAGTCCATTGCACATTCCTTTGACTCCATCACTTTCCACCTTGCATTACAGATACTCATATTCTTTCAAGTAAAAAATAAACATATTGTGGGCAAAGGCTGTTTAGCCTTTATCTCTGTAGCCTGCTTGTTGTGATAATTTTCTAGGACACCACCATTAATGCCATCATCACCATCATTGTCTTGGTATATCTAACAAAATGCTTTTCATACAGCAGGTGGTTAATAAATGTTGGATTGAATTATCCTATGGCTCCTTGCCCTGAAGATTTAAACCCTCTTGTATCCAGAACTTCTCAGCTTATGCTTTGCTTCACTTACTACTCTTTGGCAGACAACTTTTCTAACTTTCTTGTTTCTTTCTTTGTACCCTTGTACAAAGGTAGTTGGCAAGTACTCTTCTGCCCAGTCTACAGTCCTGTAACCGTGATATCATGAACCCTGCCATTGTTCCTGGAAGGGGTATGTAATTACTTTACTGTAGTCCAACTCACCATCCCTGCAATTTTATGAACCAAAACATTCCTCCCTGGCCATCATTCCCTTAGTTGTGCTATATCTACTTATCAAAATACAAGTTCCTGCAATCTGAAACTATGCCCAAAGACTATAAAATTGTGCATACCCTTTGACCCAGAAATACCACTTCTAGGGCTGTATCCCAAAGAGATCCTAAAAATGGGAAAATGACCCACATGTACAAAAATACTTATAGCAGCTCTCTTTGTGGTGGCAAAGTATTGGACAATGAGGGTATGCCCATCAATTAGGGAATGGCTGAACAAATGGTGGCATATGAATATAATGGAATACTATTGTGCTATAAGAAATGATGAGCAGGCAGACTTCAGAAAAATCTGGAAAGATTTACATGAACTGATGCCAGGTGAAATGAGCAGAACCAGGAGAACATTGTATAGAGTAACAGCCACGTTGTGTGATGACTGACTTTGCTAGACTTGGTTCTTCCTAGCAATGAATGGATCTAAGACAACTTCAAAAGATTCATGATGGAAAATGATATCCACATCCAGACATAGAACTATGGAGTCTAAATGCAGATGGAAGCATACTATTTGTTCTCCTTTTCTTTTGTAGTTTTGTTTTATTGTTTCATTTTCATGGTTCCTCCCATTAATTTTAATTCTTTTTCACATCATGACTAATGAAAAATTGCTTAATATGAATGTATAAGTAGAACCTATGTCAGATTGTACATCATCTTGGGGAGTAGAGAGGAGAAAATTTAAAACTCAAAATCTCCTGGAAGTGAATGTTGAAAACTAAAAATGAATAAATTAATTATAAAATAATAATAATAAAAGAGCAAAAAAATAAATAAATAAGATATAAGCTCCTGAAGGGCAGGGGATATCTTTCTTACTGAATTTGTATACTCATAGTTCAAACAGTTCTTGGCACTTGGTCAGCCCTTATTAAATGCTTTTTTAGTCATTCATTTATCTCAAAGGCTATTTTTTGATTGACATTTGAGTATATACTGAAAACTGGACTAGGTTATGACTGAAAATACAAAGTTTGTGCTTACAAGCTTGAGAACCAGGCCCCATCTGCAGAGAAAACTGAGAAAAAAATGGGAATACAAAGAAACCTGTCTATCTAAATAGACTCAGAAACAATTTGCCTTCGTACTCATTTGTGTCCTACTACTATGGGGCTGTCTTGAAGGTAAAGAGATTGTGCTGACTGCATTTCTTCCACATAGTGGGAAGGCTCCCCATTGCTCCTTCCAGATTCTTTCTCTTCTACCATCACTCAATATTTTCTTTTCCTTTGAGGCTTATTCTCTTCGTATCTACCACCCAATACAAATCATGGAATCTGCTGCCCTGATGCTAGGGGACTTCAATATATGTATTGATTCTCCCTCAATACCCTAACCACTCAGTTCCTTGACCTACTCAACTCCATTGAGCCACTCCTCCATCCAACCTCAGCCATACACAAAGATGGTCACATGTTTGATCTTGCCATGTACCACCTCTATGTTAAAAAAACAAAAATGAAACTTCCTTGTCTGACCATAATCTATTGCCTTTTCACCTCTCCTCTGTCTTTCTTTACATAACCCTACTCTTTATTTGTACTTGGACCTCCAATCCCTTAAGCCCTCAGTTCTCTTCCAGGCCATTTCTCCTGAACTAACCACTCCTTTTCTTCCCATCTTGACTCCTTGGTAAACAATTCTGTTTTACTCTATCTTCCTCTCTTGAATCCGTTTGTCATATCATTTACTATGCCTAACCAAGTCACAGTCTTGGCTCATTCCCACCATTCTTCATCATCACTACTACTCGCTTGCTGTTGAATGAAGGAGGTGAAAATCACCCAACCATTCTGATTGGGTCCACTACAAATTTATGTTATATAACTTCAACTAGGCTTTCATTGTGGCTAGGCAATTTATGAGCTCACTATCCTACTCTACACAGTTGCTATTCCAAACCTTTTTCAACCCTCCTCAAACATCCTACACCCTGCCATTTTCTCAGCTGAGAACTTTGACTCATATGATACTGAAAAAATTGAGACCATTGACCATGAATTCCCCCTTCTCCCCTCTTTCTCATCTCCCATCATTCAGATGCCTTCTGTAACTTAATACTCTTTCACTCATGTCTCATATCATGAAATGCCCTTACTCTTTACCAAGGCTAATGCTTCTACTTGTTCAAGTGATCCCATTCCATACCATTTCACCATATTGCCTCCACTGTTATCTCTACCTTTTCACTTATATTCAATCTCTCCCTCTCTACCAGTTAATTTCCTACTGCCTACAAACATGACCATGTCTCTCTTATCTTGAAAAAAAAACACTCACTTGATCCTTCCATCCTTGCTACCATCCTATGTCTCTTCTACCCTTTGTATACACTCCTGGAAATGTCTATCTACAATAGGTGCGTCCACTTTCCTCTCACTCTCTTCTTAACTCTTTACAATATGACTTTCAACTTTGTCATTCCACCATAACTGCTCTCTTGAAAGTAACTAATGGTCTCTTAGTTGCAAGATCCAATGGTCCTTTCTCAATCCTCATTCACCTTTATATCTTTGTGGGCTTTGGCATTTTTGATTGCTCTCTTTTTGATATTTTCTTCTCTCTAAGTTTTGGGGCAAACTGCTTTCTTTTTAGTTCTCCTTCTATATATTTGACCACCCCTCTTTTTCATTTGCTGGACCTTCCTCCAGATAATGCCCTATAACCATAGGTAACCCTCAGGGTCCTGTACTAGGCACTCTTCTCTTTTCCCTCTAAACTATTTCACTTGGTGATGTATCATCTTCCATGGATTTAATTACAATCTCTATGCTGATGACTCTCAAATCTACCTAACCTGTCCCAATTTCTCCATTGACCTCCAATCTTGCATCTCCAACTATGACATCTTGAATTAGCTCTCCAGTAGACACCTTAAACTCATTACGTCTAAAACAGAACACATTATCTTCCCCCCCAAACCCTTTCTTCCCTTCCCTATTACTATAGAGGGCAATACCATCCTTTCAGTCCCTCAGGCTCACAACCCAGGTATAATCCTGTATTTATTTCTATCTCTTTCCCCACTCCAATATCCACTTTGTTGCCAAGGGCAGCCAATTTCATCTTTCAACATATCGTGAACTTGCCTTCTTCTCTCATCTGACATTCTCCCCATTCTAGTGTAGATCCTCATCACCTCACATCTGAATTATTGCAATAATATGCTGATGGATCTACCTGCTTCAAGTCTCTCCTCATTCCAAGCCATTCTTTATTCAGCACTTAAGTATTTCTTGTAAAATGCAGATATTACTCCACTACTCAATAAACTCCTGTGGCTTCTTTGCCTCCGGGAACAAATACAAAACGATCTGTTATGCATTCAAAACCCATTATAATCTAGCCCCCTCTTACCTTTCCAGTCTTCTCAAACCTTATTCACTAACATATTTTCTTCCATCCAGTGATATTGGTATCCTGGATGTTCCGTGAATAACACACTCCATCTCTCAGTGTTAGGCATTGTCTTTGGGTATCTCTCATACTCTCATTCTCCTTCCTTCACTCACAATACTGACTTCTCTGGCTTCCTTTAAGTACCAACTAAAAATCTCACATTCTATAAGAAGTCTTCCTCAACCCCTCTTAATTCCAGTGACTTCCCAGTTTTCTTGATTCAGATTTCACCACTTTGTACCCTATGATAATCTCCACTCCACATTGTTTCTAATTTGGTGAGTGGTATTTCAGTGACAGAAGCATTTGGTCTTGGGTGAAGAAATGGGAAGAAGTAGTTGTCAAGGACATCCATATTATTAATGGGAACAGTACTTGCAGCTGTGCTTAGTTAGTCATTCAGTTTTTTGTGATCATTGAAAGGATCACTAATTATTCCTTTATCAAACACTGATGGCAGTACTCAGGCTTTCTCATTTATTGATTCATTCAACTTTCATTTAACAAGTCAATACTTCATACAAACCACTGTGCTGAGTGGGGAAAAGTGACAAACAGATGAATAAAAAATTGATTAATTCTCATCAATGACACTCTCTAATAAAGTGGATAACACATATACTCAAATAACTATAATATAAAATAGCATTTGATAGGAGTAAAGAAGAGAGTCAGATCAAAAAGCCAGAGAAAATTGAAGGAGAGATTGAATCCAGCTGGAGAAATGGTGGAGGTTTTGTGAAGGAGGAGGTCCTAAAGATAAGTCCTAAATGGAGAAAACAATTTTAACAGGCAGAAATGAGGAGAAACACTTTTCCAAGCACTGATGGTGGA